ATTCACAAAATATACAAGTGACGCATAATATTAAATGTATGCTTACTAATGCAAGGAGCCTAAATAACAAAATGGGGGAACTAGAGGCATTAGCATACACTAAACAATATGATATAATAGGCATAACTGAAACATGGTGGGATGAGACACATGACTGGGCAGCTAACTTAAATGGGTACATGTTATTTAGGAAGGATAGGAAAAACAAGAAGGGTGGTGGGGTATGTTTGTATGTCAAACATGATTTAAAGCCAAATGTTAAGCAAATGGAATGCGAGGAGGATAATGTGGAAGCTTTATGGGTAAATATCTGCTTGGGGGAAAAGAAGGGAAACCAACTATTGGTTGGGATATGTTATAAACCACCTAATGTTAATATTGACGAGGAACAACAGCTGTTTGAGCAAATTGAGAAAGCTGCAAATCTGGGTAACACTTTAATTATTGGAGATTTTAATTACCCGGATATAAATTGGGACAGAGGGACTAGTGCCTCAGCAAAGGGAATTAGGTTTTTAAACTTGTTAAATGACACCTTCATGTCACAACTTGTACAAGCACCAACTAGAATGGATGCTTGTCTGGACCTGGTTTTAACAAACAACGTTGATCTTTTGACCAACATTCAAGTAGGTGAGCACTTGGGAAATAGTGATCACAATATAGTGTCCTTTGAAATAAACTCAAAAAAACAAAAGCACATGGGGAATACTAAAACATATAATTTTAAAAAGGCCAATTTCAATAAGTTAAGGGAAGCTTTACAATATATTGACTGGCATAAACTCTTTAGTGAAAAGAACACTGAGGATAAATGGATCATCTTCCAACAAATATTACAAAGGTACATTTCTCAGTATGTACCATTGGGAAATAAATATAAAAGAAACAAATTAAAACCAACATGGCTTAGTAGAGAAGTAAAACAAGAGATTACAACTAAGAGAAGGGCATTTAAAGCATTTAAATCGGACAAATCAGATGCATCTTATAAAAGATATAAGGATGCAAATAATGCGTGCAAAAAGGCAATTAGACTTGCTAAACTTCAAAATGAAATAATGATAGCTGAAGAGAGCAAAACCAACCCCAAAGCATTTTTTAAGTACATAAATTCTAAAAAACCCCAAAATGAAAGTGTAGGTACACTAAAAACTGAAACGGGGTGTTAATTAATGAAGACCAGGAAAAGGCAGGAATTTTAAATAACTATTTCTCCTCCGTATATATTAAGGAAGAACCCATGGCAATAGATGTGCAAATGATTGCTACTAAAAACGTGCAGAATAATTGTAATTGGTTAACTCAAGACAAGGTGCTGCAGCAACTAAAGAAAGTTAATATAAACAAAGCTCCAGGGCCTGACGGTATCCATCCACGTGTACTTAAGGAACTAAGTGCAGAAATAAGTGAACCTCTGTTTTTAATCTTTCAAGATTCTTTTCTTTCAGGAAGTGTTCCGAGGATTGGAGGAAGGCAGATGTGGTTCCTATATTCAAAAAGGGTTCAAAATCCTTGCCTGGAAATTATAGACCTGTGAGCTTAACTTCTGTGGCTGGTAAAATATTTGAAAGTTTATTAAGGGATAATATTCAAGAATTCCTTGAGAAGAACATGGTTATCAGCAAAAATCAGCATGGTTTTATGAAGCACAGGTCATGTCAAACTAACTTGATTGCGTTCTACGAAGAAGTAAGTAGAAGTATAGATCAGGGTGTTGCCGTGGATGTGATCTTTTTGGATTTTGCCAAGGCATTTGATACAGTTCCACACAATAGATTAGTGTTCAAACTCAAGGAAATCGGTCTAGATGAAAATGCTTGTTCTTAGGTAGAACATTGGCTTAAAAACAGAGTACAAAGAGTTGTCATTAATGGTAAATTTTCAAGCTGGACAGAGGTGGCAAGTGGTGTCCCTCAGGGGTCTGTTCTGGGACCCCTTCTATTTAACATGTTTATAAATGATCTTGAAGACCGCATTGAAAGTCATGTTTCAGTGTTTGCAGATGACACAAAACTTTGTAAAACAATACAATGTGAGCAAGATATTACTTTGCTGCAGAGGGATTTAGATAGACTGGGAGACTGGGCACTCAAATGGCAGATGAAATTTAATGTTGAAAAATGCAAAGTTATGCACTTCGGCGTAAAGAATACACAAGCAACGTATACCCTTAATGGAAGCGAATTAGGGATAACAACACATGAAAAGGACTTGGGAATTGTTATAGACAACAAACTATGCAACAATGTGCAATGTCAATCAGCAGTGGCCAAGGCCAGTAAGGTATTGTCATGCATGAAAAAGGGCATTCATTCTCGGGACAAGAATATAATTTTGCCTCTTTATAAATCACTGGTAAGACCCCATATTGAATATGCTGTGCAATTTTGGGCACCTGTTCTAAAGAAGGATATTATGGCACTAGAAAAAGTGCAGAGGCTACAAAATTAATAAAAGGAATGGAACATATCGGCTATGAAGAAAGGTTAACAAATTTAAACCTATTTAGTTTAGAAAAACGTCGCCTGAGAGGGGATATGATAACATTATACAAATATATTCGGGGCCAATACAAACCATTGTGTGGAAATCTATTCACAAACCGGACTTTACATAGGACACGAGGCCATGCGTTTAGACTGGAAGAAAGAAGATTTCACCTAAGGCAAAGGAAAGGTTTTTTTACTGTAAGAACAATCAGGATGTGGAATTCTCTGCCTGAGGAAGTGGTTCTATCAGAGTCCATACAGATGTTCAAACGGCTACTAGATGCATACTTGCAAGAACAGAATATTCAAGGATATAATCTTTCAATGTAGGGTAATAACTGCTTGATCCAAGGATAAATCTAACTGCCATTCTGGGGTCAAGAAGGAATTTTTTTCCTAGCTTGTTGCAAAATTGTGCTTCAAACTGGGTTTTTTTGCCTTCTTTTGGATCAACAGCAAAAAACAAATGTGAGGAAGGCTGAACTTGATGGACGCAAGTCTCTTTTCAGCTATGTAACTATGTAACTATGTATAGGAGCTTTTGAGATTGTGTGTGTGCTGAGAGGGCCTGTAAAGTGTGTGCGTGTGCATGTAGGGACTGCATTGTGAGTGTATGTGTATTGGGGTTGCATTGTGTGCTTATCAAGGAGCTGTAGTTTTATATATATATATATATATATATATATATATATACAGTGGAACCTCGGTTAACGAACGCCTCGAAAATCTGTAAAAAAGCCTCAGTTTACAATTTTTTTCCGCAATACAAAACAAGTGTCCCGGTTTATAGCTCTGCCCCCTGCATACTGGAGTCTGGTAGCATATGAGTGTGGAGTGTGGAGGTGTTGGAGAGGTTTTGGAGCCATTTGCAGCAAGTTTTGGAGCCTTTTGCAGCAAGTTTTGGAGCCTTTTGGAGCCATTTGCAGCAAGTATTGGAGCCATTTGCAGCAAGTTTTGGAGCCTTTTGAAGCCATTTGCAGCACGTTTTGGAGCCTTTTTGGTGCATCCCAAGAGGTGGAAAGGTAGGGAGCTGAGCTTAGTTGTTTGCATGCCTATTACTGTGTGTTCTGCATTGTGGGGTTGTTTTCAATGCCAGCTCATGTGCTGTGCATGCCTGTTACTGTGTGTTTTGCATTGTGGGGTTATTTTCCATGCCAGTTTATGTGCTGTGCATGGCTTCTACTATGGTTTTCATGCCAGCTCATGTGCTGTGCATGCCTGTTACAGAACTGTACTGTGTGTTTTGCATTGTGGGGTTGTTTTCCATGCCAGCTCATGTGCTGTGCATGGCTTTTACTGTGGTTTCCATGCCAGCTCATGTGCTGTGCATGCCAGTTACAGCTCATGTGCTGTGCATGCCTGTTACAGCTCATGTGCTGTGCATGCCTTTTACTGTGTGCTTTGCATTGTTGGGTTGTTTTCCATGCCAGCTCATGTGCTGTGCATGCCTGTTGCAGCTCATGTGCTGTGCATGCCTTTTACTGTGTGTTTTGCATTGTGGGGTTGTTTCCCATGCCAGCTCATGTGGGTGTAAAGCATTTTTTTTTTTTTTTGCATACTTAGTGACGGTGGTGTCATGGCACCCAAGAAAGCAGTGGAAGCTGAGAAGAGGAAGAAAGAGATGATTCTGCTTGAGGACAAGAAATAAATCATCAGGAAGTATGAAGGAGGAATGCGATTGACTGACCTCGCCAAAGAGTATGGAAGGAGTGCATCCACAATCAGTACAATCCTAAAGATGAAAGAGAAAAAACTGGGAGAGATGCAGCCAAGGGAGTCACCAGGGTCTCCAAGCAATGGCCACTTGTTCCGGAGGAGGTCGAGAAGTTGCTCCTGCTCTGGATTGAACAGAAGCAGCGTGCAGGGGACTCAGTGACCAAGGCGATCATCTGCGAAAAAGCCAAGGCCTTGCACGCTGACCTCCTCAAACAACAGCCAGGAATGTCAGCAGATGCAGAAGGCTTCAAGGCGAGCAGGCGGTGGTTCGAAAGGTTCAAGACCAGATCTGGCATCCACAGTGTGGTCAGGCATGGAGAGGCTGCAAGTTCCGATGTTGCTGCAGCTGAGGAATTTGCTACGGAGTTCCTGTTCTGCACCAATGCGAGGGGGACTTTAAGATCAAGCACCTGCTTGTCTACCATTCAGAGAACCCACGGGCCTTCAAGAAACACAAGGTGAACGAGGAGCAGTTGAGCGTTTTGTGGCAGTCTAACCCAAAGGCTTGGGTCACACGCCTCTTGTTTGTGAAGTGGGTCAATGCGGTTTTTGGTCCTGCTGTGAAGAAGTACCTTGTGGACAATAACCTGCCACTCAAGGCCATGCTGCTCATGGACAATGCTCCTGCCCATCCTCCAGACCTCGAGGAAGAATTGCAGGAGGACTTTAATTTCATCAAGGTCATGTTCCTTCTGCCTAACACCACCCCACTACTCCAGCCAATGGACCAGCAGGTCATCTCCAATTTTAAAAAAACTATACACAGGGGAGCTTTTCCGGCGATGCTTTGAGATGACAGATCGCTCAAGCCTCACCCTCCATGAATTTTGGAGAGTGCATTTTGACATTGTGAGCTGTCTGCAGATTATCACCATTGTCTGGGCCGGGGTCAGCCAGACAAACCTAAATTCTGCTTGGCGCAACTTGTGGCCAGACTCTGTTGTGAAACCTGCCTCCAGTTCTTCTGCACCTGCACCAGAGTTAACAGTGTTGGAGGAAATTGTTTCCTTGGGGAGGACCATGTGCCTGGAGGTGACTGAGGAGGATGTCTATGAGCTGGTGGAGGAACACGACCGTGACCTAACCACCGAGGAGCTTGTGGAATTGCAGAAGGAGGTGATGGAGGAGCAGATCGCATTTGAGGAGGAGGAGGAAATGAGTGAGGAACAGCTCTCTTCCACAGAACTCAAGGAGGCATGCCAAATGTGGGTAAACCTACAGACTTTTGTACAGCAGCACCACCCAGATAAGGCTCTAGCCCAGAGACTTGTGAGCAGTTTTGACACAGACATCATGTCCCCTTTCCGAGGGATGCTTAAAAGGCGCCAGAAGCAGCAGACAATGGAAAGGTTGCTACAAAAACAGCCTAGCCATGAAGAAGAACCTGCTTGTGTTAATGCTAGCCAATTGCCCTCGTCCTCCTCATCTTCCAAAAAGTTTGAAATTGTTTTGAAATTTTCCATGTTTTCTCTGTTGACATTTGATTTATGTACAGTTGAAGTGTGCTGTAACATGTTTCCAACAGTCTGCCATGTTTTAAAAGTTGTTGTGTGATGTTTTAAAACATAAAGTTGGATGTTTGAAATGTTATTGCTTCATTAATCATGTCCCTGTACAGTATTTATGCCTTTAAAGTGCACTTTATAAAGAGAACAGATAAAATACTTTTTTTTACTTTTTTCTCACCTCCGGAACACTTTAATTGGTTTTCAATGCATTCCTATGGGAAACCGTCCCGGAGAATGCATTAAATTCGTAAACCGAGGTCCCACTGTATATATATATTACAGTGGGACCTCGGTTTACGAGATTTGGTGTGTAAAGCACGTATATATGTATGTATGAATGTGTGTGGGGGGGTGAAGGTATGTGGGGAAGAAGTGTATATGTGGGTGAAGAGATGTGTGTGAGGGGTGCACTGTGTGTGTATGCAAAGATGTACTTTGTGTTGATGGAAATGTACTGTATGTGAGGGTGTACTGTATTCAATGGGGTGTAGAGAGTGGGACAGGGAAGAGCTTTACAATTTGTACTTTATTAATTGTTTAAAAGAAGAAGAAAAAAAGAATATTCCCCTTTCCCTGATCTTACCTTGCAGGAAGGGGTGGCACAATCAGATCCGAGGTGGTTGAGAAGGCTGCCTATCCATCGGGTACAGAGAAGGTCACGAAATGAGATGAATCTCTCTTGGAGCTCTAGTACTTACATAGACTGACCCATACACATACACAGACTAACCCATATACACACACACACAAACAAACACACACAGACTGACCCATACACACACACACACACACAGACTGCTTCACCACATACACAGACTGACCCTTACACACACACAGACCAACTCATACATACACAGACCGACCCCTCCATACACACAGACTGACCCATACACACACACACACACAGGCTGACCCCCACAAGCACAGACTGACCCACTCCACACAGACTGACCCATACACACAGAGTGAGCCCCCTCCGCACACAGAGTGACCCATACACACACACACACACACACACACAGACTGACCCACACACACACACAAACTGACCCCCTACACACAGACTGACCCCCTACACACAGACTGACCCATGCACACACAGACTGACCCCCCACACACAGACTGAGCCCCCCCACACACAGACTGAGCCCCCCACACACAGACTGACCCACCCTACTGACCCCCACACACAGACTGATCCCCCCACATACAGACTGACCCTCCATCCCCGCTCCCCACACCCATACACACACAGACTGAATCCCCCACACACACTGACTCACACTTACCAGCAGCTGCCTGGATGCTTCTGTGCAGAGCTAAGCTTCCTCTCCGTGTCTCTCCCCTGCACTGCTCTCTATGACCCAGGAGGTAGCCCTCTCAGCACAGCGCCCCCTCTGGCCGCTCGTGGGAAAAGGGTGGAACACAGTTTCACAGTGACAGTGCTGCTGCTGCAGCTTTTGAAGGGAGACTCAGTGCATCCGAATTCAATTGGGTGGGTACAAGGGGGGATCAGTGATGTAGGGGGGCCATGGCCACCTTTGGTCCCCCCTAGTGATGCCACTGCTGATGCTGGTCATAAGGCATTCAGGATTCCAGCTGTCAACACCAAAAGGGTTCTGTATCTTAACAAAGTAAAGTGAAGAGAATGGCTTAGACTGTTCTGAAAGATTTTAGGTGACTTACTAATAACAATTCATGCAACAAAAAATTTATTTAGAACAAGAACAATGTATCTTATTGACACAGACTGACTTCTAAACATGTTTATTGTAGTTTAAATACATATTGTTGCGGGTAACACAGTAAAGGAGTTTAACTCCTTAACCCCTTAAGGACACAGTTTCAGAAGCTTGACTTACGCTTAATGACACAAGCAATTTTTGCATTTTCTTGCTATTTGCGTTCAACTGCAATTTGCATCTCTCTCATTTATTGCACCTACACATATTATATACTGTTTTTTAAAGGACAGAAAGGGCTTTAATTTGATATAACATATATATATATATATAAATGCTTATTTATTATAAAAACAAATACAGAAAAATGAAAACAAAATTAAAAAATGTGGTTTTTTTTTAAGTTTTTGCAATAATAATGTGTTCATAATTAGTGCAGGTTAAGTAAAGTAATTAAAAATAAATTCATTTAGTTTTTCTGATTTACAGAATATATAATGTGTCTGGGATTTTAAGTTTTTTTTGGTAGTTAAAGGTCACAAAGCACAAGGAGTAAAATAAACTTTTAATGTGGAGCGATTTTAGAATTTGGTATGTTTGTCTTGTAAGCTTAATAGCCATAAAAGAAAACAAAATTGCCACACAAAAGTATATATTTATATAAAGTAGACATCACAGGCTATTTACCTAAGGTTGTTTTGACACCTTCTACGTAGCCATTTCACCGCCAACCTCTGCTAAATATTGGAGTAAAATTGTGTTTTTTTGGTTTTTGGCACACAAACTTATAACAAAGAAATTCTCATGTATATTTTGTAAAGTTGGTGTGTGCTATTCCTGTACCAAGTTTTATTTTGTGTTCAGTTACATCTGCTCAGTAAAATGACACCCCCATTGTATGTCTTTGGCAGTAGACTCTTTAGGGTATCTCATAAGGTGCATATTGTGCCTTAACATGCCCCCATTTTATCACCAATATATGCCAAAGTATGTGGTAAAAAATAATTTTGTGCATTTTTTACATACGGATTGCATTTTTGCTGGGCTTTTTGTATATTTCATATGTGCCACTAAGTTCAAACCTCCCATATTATGCTCAGCTAAGTCTGCTGAGTAAAAAGACACCCCCAATGAATGTCTTTGGCACTATTTCGTGCCATATAGAAGACCAAGCCATATCAGTTTTTACCGAACTTTGAATTTTGACGCTGGGCCTATGTGCAATTTCCAAGCATCTTTGCAGGTTTTAAATTCAAACTACCCCACAAAGGCCTACCATTTCTTAAAGTAGACACCCCAGGGTATTTCAAAAGGTATATTTTGAACCTTAGCATGGGATCATTTTTCCGCTAGCGTGTACCAGGTGTAGTGGTAATAAGCGTTTTTTCTGCCTTTTTGACATACAAAGTAAGTTTGCACAGTATATTTTGCAAACCTTATGTGTGCTACAACTGTATAATACTTCATATGTTGCTCAGCTATATCGGCTGAGTACAGCAATATCCCCGTATGTACCTTTGCCAGGTATATGTGGATGTTGAAGGGGTGCATTTGAGACGCAGCCATTCAGTTTTTTTCTAACTTTGAAGTTTTAGGCTGTGTCCATGTTCCAATTTGGAGTAGTTTAGACGGTTGTTTATTGAAACTTCCCCACAAACACATACTATTTATTAAAGAATACACCCTGGGGTAATTCAAAAGGCATATTTTGAACCTTAGCGTGGGATCATTTTTTCTCTAGTTTGTTGCAGGTGTAGTGATAATGAGCGTTTTTAAATGTATTTTTTTTACTTTTTGAACCTTTTTTACTTTTAAAAACTAGTTTTTAAACTTTTGTTTTGCTTATTCATTTTTTTTAAACTTTCTTAAAACTTTTTTACAGATTTAACATTTTTCTGAGCTCTTTTCTTTACCGTTAACCCCTAACTAGCAGTAAGCAGCACTAACAGTAAATTCCCCATTTTCCCATAACTCCCACCCACCCCAGCTAGCAAAATATATAGTTATAAAATATTTAAATTAAATAATTAAATAAATTGAATCCCTGAGGGTTAAAAAATGAATAAAAGTTCATCCTCAGGAGTTAAACAAAATTAGATCACAGTATAATACTGTGGTCTGTATTTTGATCACTGTAGGCAGTAATCGACTGGCAGGGAAGGGGTTAATTTTTATTTGGACTGGGTAAAGGGGTTGTTTTTTTGTATTTTTTACTTAAACGTTTTTTTAAGCTTAATTTTTTACTTTTGAAAGTTTATTTTAAAACTTTTTTTAACATTAAAGCGGCACTGTCATGCCGAATCCCGTTTTTTTTTTTAACCCCCCTCCCGCCTCCACTACATCCAATTGACCCACTAGTCACCCTCAAATGCCCCTATGCCCCCCACATTACCTATTTTTTAATCCTTATTTTCTGCCCCGATCTTGATTCAGGGCGCTGCCATCTTTGTGTGGGTAGATGAAGTCCCTGTGGGACACGTCATCAGCCCACACTAGGCAGACACTGAGATTCCCGCACATGCCCAGTGAAACACCTGGACATGCGAACGGGAATTTCATCTATTCATTCATTCATCAGACAGACGAATGAGTGAATAGAAATATCAGCTGAACAAACAAACACTATGTATCAGTGTATCTGAGTATCAGTGTATGTTTGTTCGTTCAGTTTATTACAAGGAGGGAGCTACCGGCGTGCAGCTCCCTCCTTGTAATATGTAACTATAGAAGCGGCAGGGAGCAGTGCTCCCCACCACTTCATAAGCCCCCCCAGGTCCCCCTCTCACTCTATGGAGGTCAATATGACCCCCATAATAGCACAAGGGAGATTAAAATCTCCCAAATGCCCCTACTTGCTATACCCAAGTAGGGGCATGTCTACTAAACAGTGTGGCTGCTCACTGTTGAAAAAAAAAGACATAAATTACAATAAGGGGGGGGCGGACCTATTGTCCCCCCCTCCCTCACCCGGAGCGGTGGGTGGGGCCCCTAATAAAACAATAAGGGGGGGGGACCTACTGTCCTCCCCCCTGGCCCCCACCCCTGAGCGGTGGGTGGGGGCCCTTATAAAACAATAAGGGGGGGACCTACTTCCTCCCCCCCTGGCCCCCACCCCTGCGCGCAGGGCCGGATTAACATAGGGGCTGATGGAGCTGCAGCTCCAGGCCCATGGAATAGGCCCATTGATTTATAAAGAAAAAAAAAAAATTATTTTTTTTTACATTTTTTTTTTTTTCACACACTACTCTTAGGGATTCCACCTGGCTTTTATTTTATTGGCACAGCCAGTATTTGAGGCTGCCTGGCTGGTGCCAATATTACAGTGATATTGGCAAGACAAATGCTGGTATTTTTCTCAGTATAA